CAAAAGAAGGGAGGAAATTATAAAGATCAGAGCAGAAATTAATGCAGTTGAAACTAAGAAAACAATAAAAAGAATTCATAAATTGAAGAGTTGGTTCTTTTAAACAATAAAATTGATAAACCCCTAGACAACCTTATCAAAAAGAGTAAAGAAAAAAAAAACTCAAATCCATGCAATATGAAAAGGGTGGAATATGACAGACCCTGTGGAAATACAGTAAGTCATTTATACCTACTTCAAAAACCTTTACTCTCAAAGGTTTGATAACATGGAAGAAATGGACAGATTCCTAAAAACATATGAATTACCAAAGTTGAATCAAGAAGATGAAAAACTGCTGAACCAAATTTCAGTTAATAAAATTGAAAATATATTTAGAACCTTTCCAACAAAAAAAAGCCCAGGTCCTGATGGATTCATTGCTGAATCCTACAAGAAATTTAAGGAAGACTTAATGCCAACACTCCTCAACTCTTCAGTGAAACTGAAAAGGAAGCAAGTCTCCCTAATTCATTCCTGGAAGCAAGTATTAACCTAATACCAAAATCAGAGAAAGACAACCAAAAAAGAGAATTACAGGCCAATCTCCCTAATGAGCATAGATGCAAAAATTCTCAATAAAATACTGGCAAATAGAATGCAACAAGTCCTCAAGAAGATTATACACCATGACCAGGTGAGATTCATCCCAGGAATACAGAGGTGATTCAACATATGCAAATCAATAAATGTAATATACCATATCAACAGAGCCAAAGATAAGAATCACATGATCATCTCAATAGATGCAGAAAAAGCTTTCAACAAAATCCAACAATCATTCATGATAAAAACCCTGCAGAAAATTGGAATAGGTGGTCTTCACCTCAGTCTGATAAAAGCCATATATGATAAACCAACAGCCAACATCTGACTAAATGAACAAAAACTGAAAACTTTCAACCTAAAATCAGGATATTATCACCATTCCTATTCAATATCATTCTCAAAACATTGGCCAGAGTAATTAAGACAAGAGAGAGAAATAAAAGGAATAAAGCTAGGAAAGGAAGAAGTTAAATTATCACTATTTGTAGATGATATGATATTCTACATAGAAGATGCCCAAAACTCTATTGAATGACCTCTAGACGTAATAACCAAATTCAGTAATGTAGCCAGATACATGATCAATACTGAAAAATCAATAGCATTCCTTTACACAAACAATAAACTTACTGGGAGAGAAATAGAGAAGCAACACCCTACACAATACCATTCAAAAAAGTGAAATACTTAGGAATCAATCCAACAGAGGAAGTAAATGATTTATACATTGAAAATTTCATTACTCTTAAAAAGGATATCAAAGAGCATTTCAGAAAATGGGAAGGCATTCCCTGTTCATGGATAAGAACAAAAGTTTGGGAAGAACAATTTTGGGAAATGCCCATTCTCCCAAAATTGTTACACAGATTTAATGCAATTCTAATCAAAATAACATTTGCAAACCTCACAGAAGTAGAGAAAATGTCTCTAAAATTCATCTGGAACCAGAAGAGACCTAGAAATAGCAAATGCAATTCTGAGCAACAAAGGCATGGCAGGAAGCATCACAATTCCTGGCTTGAAATTATACTACAAAGCTACTGTGATAAAATCAGCATGATACTGGAATAAAAACAGAGCTGAAGATCAATGGAACAGATTAGAAGCTACAGCCACAACTATACACACACTCAGCCGCCTCATCTTCGACAAAGCGGCCAAACACGTTCACTGAAAGAAAGATAGCCTCTTTAATAAATGGTATTGGAAAAACTGGCTTTCTATGAGCCAAAAACCATGTCTGTCACCAGGCACTAAAGTCAAAATGAATCAAAGATCTAAATATTAAAACAGAAACACTAAATCTGCTGGAAGACAAAGTAGGTAGAAATGACAACATATGGGGTAGGGCAGAGAGTTCATGAACAAAAATCAGACTGCATGGGAAATATTTGCCAGAGTCAGTAACTAGAATCATGTCTTATTAAAAAGTTTTTGCATTTCAAAAGAAATCTCCAACACAGTGAAAATAAAACCCATGAATTGGGAAAATATCTTGGCCAATTATCCCTCAGACAAAGGACTTCTATCTAGAACATATAAAGAATTTTTAGAAATCAGGCCCCCAAAATTCAAGACCCAATTCTGAGATGAATACACATATGTCAGGTGAAAAAATACAAATAGCAAATAAATATATGTAAAAAATGTTCAACATCAATGACCATTTGAGAAATTTAAATTAAAACAACATTGAGATTTTATCTCACTCTAGAAAGAATGGCCAAGATCAAGAAATCAACCAATAACAAATGCTGGATGGGCTGTGGGGAAAAAGGAATTCTTCTCCACTATTGGTGGGAGTTTAGGCTGGTACAACCACAGTGGAAATGAGTGTGGAGCTTCCACAAAAAGCTAGGATTAGAGATTCCATTTGACCCAGCTATCGTGCTTCTGGGTATTTTCCTAGAAGAACTGAAAACATCACATCACAGTGATATATGTGTAACCATGTTTAAAGTAACACAATTTGTAATAGCCAAATCTTGGAAACAACGCAAGTGCCCATCAATCAAGAAATAAATTTAAAAATTTGGTAATTGTATACAGTGGAGAAATCTAAGCTATAAAGAAAGATTGCATTGAGACCTTTATAAGTAAATGGACGTGAATTGAGCCTATAGTCATAAGTGAAATAAATCAACCTCACATGTGTAAATACCATATTGCCTCCCTAGTGCAAGAAATTGAAAGAGTATATATGATCCAAAATCTACAATAAACATTGTGTAAGTGTAAGAAACTGCTCAAATAAGAAAAGTAAAACAGGTAACAGGGAAAAGAAGGAAAAAAGGAAGAGAACAGGAAAAAGACATAAATTTGTGTGTGTGTGTGTGTGTGTGTGTATATGATAGGTAAAATGATTATACCACCAATTGTGTTAGTTCTTGTAAAAGAACATTTACTACTCATATGATTAGATCAATTTTACATGTCTATATCTGGTAATCTAAGCAGCCCTTTTGAAGGTAAGAATACACAATATTACAACCATTGTTACATTTCTATCTTCTTGTTTTGAATACTTATACTGTTTTCATTTTCCTTTTGTTGTTGTTACCTTATCTCTTTTGCTTTTTGGTTTCTGTATATTTTTTCTCTTAAATAAAAACCAAAAAAATTAAAAACACCTAAAATAAAGACCCAGTCAAGAAATGAGCTAGAGAAGTAAATGGATACTCATAGAGAACAATACAGATGGCCATGAAAAAATGTTCAACATCTCTGTCCAATGGAGAAATGCAATTTAAAACAACACTAAGATTCAGTCTTACTCCAGAAAAAATGGCAATCATTTGAAATTCAAACAATAACAAATGCTGGCTTGGCTGTGGTTAAAAAGGTCACATTTTGTATCACTACATCAGGCTGTTGTATACTATTTTAGAATGCCAAAGATTTTTTAGAGAAACAAGGTAAGAGAGGAGGAAGAAATATAAGGAAGACTTAAGGAAAACTGTAACATCAATTTAAAGGCATTTATAAGACTCTAGTGTCACTATAAAGGAAGACTCTAATTCATTATAAATGCACATTTGACTTATATTTGAGCAAAGTGCTAGAATGATCATTGGGTATTATTGTGTGACTTGGGCCGGGAGGACCTGTCCTACATGAAAAAGGCCTAGATGAGACACTGAACTGATCAAGGGAGCAAAAGAGAATTCAGAGGGAGGAAACATCGAAAGGCTTGTAATAAAGCCATTTTACATTTTTGCTTTAGCCTTTACCTTGTCTATGTTGTTATCTAACATTACCAGACTTGAAGGGAAATCTATACTGTATAAACTTCCAGAGGAGGATGAACCTAGTACACTCAGCATTTATCCAGGGTGGTGGTTATTTTTCCTTTTGTATCATTCAGAATTCTTCAATCTATTATTTAACCCCCTTCTGTTCTCTTTTCAGCAGAGATGCACAAGTGTTGCTCATCTTCAGGGGAAAATGTTGAATTATCTGTCAAGTTTTGCTTCCTTGGGTATGAAATTCCAAAAGAATTTCTATTTCCTTCCTTGAGGATCTTATTTCCTTAGTCTTTCCTTGATCTCTTTGCTGGACTATCTCTGGCCTGTCTCTCTTATTCTGGAGCTCCGTATACCACCCCATAAAAGCAATACAACTAATGCCCAGGGACGACAACCTGGTATATGAAATTCCAACGTGTCACTTGCACTGTGTGCTTTAGTGTCTCCTCCATAATTTATTCATTCATTTTGAGGGCATTTTTTGTGCCAGGAGTCTTAGATGCTCTGGGATAGTGAAGAGAGCTAAAGTTACTCAATCACTACTTTTAAAAACATTATATTCTGTTCAGGGGAGAAGATAATATACAAACTAAGAAAAAGAAACCATAGTGTAACTGCTGGTAATAAATGTGATATAGAAACTAAAACAAGGAGAGGTAATAGTTGGAAGCTGCAATTGTAAATAGTGATGGGACAGTTTGACTGAGAAGGCATATTTTTGGTAAAACCCTCAAGGCATTGAGGAAGTCAGCAAAACAGCCGCTGAGGTAAAGCATACTGTGCCAAGCAATTGGTAAGTATGAAGTCTTTGAGGTTAGACCTGGATGGTGTGTTTGAGAAGGTGGTTGTAAAATGAGTGGAACACAGTGAAGGAGGGGAAGGATAGCAGGCACGAAGTCTGAAAAGTTCAAATCAGACTGTGACCTTGATAGAACTATTAAACCACTTAGGACGATGCAGAGGGGGCAGTTTGATTTACAAGTCTGGATTTATGGAGGACGTTCTGGCTATAGATACCAATCATGGGAGTCATCATCATATAGAAGGTGCACTTTGCCCTGAGATTGAATGAGATCATCAAGGTAGCAAATTTTCCTAAATTTCCACTATTATAGCAACAGACCCAGATAATTAACTTTTGAGGAGGAAAGGTTTAGTTTGACTCACAATTTCAGAAGTTTCAATCCAAAGTTAGGTGTAGAGCTTTTGGGCCCTGGTCAAGGCAGTGCATCACAGTGGGAGCACCTAGCAAAGCAAAGCTTCGCACTTCATGGTAGCTGGGAAGCAAAGAAACAGGAAGGGCCTTCTTGGAGGGCATGCCCCACAATGACCTCACTTCTTCAAGCAAGGACCCACCTCTTAAAGGTTCCATCAACTCCAAATTAGCGCTATGGGCTGAGCACCACGGCTTTCATGCTTGTATTTTGGAGGACATCTATCCACATTATAACACAAGTGTACGCATAAACAAAAAGAGAGTGAAGGGCTGAGCCTTGGACAGCCATGCTGTTGTTAGGAAGTTGGCAGATGAACTGTTTGTGAAGAATAGAAGCATACACAACATCTTAGGGGAAGCAAGCTTGAGTAAACTATGAAGAAGGAGAGTGATTAGGCTCAGTGTAGAGGAAGGAAATGATGCTGTGGTGTGGTGTGAACCTTGGCTGTTCACATGAAAGCTTTATAAATAAGAATGTAGCATTGAAGGCTAGCCTGCCTTGGGGAGCAGACAAGAGAGTGAAGGAGGAGAATGTTCAGGTTTCTCTTGTCTCACCACTTTATTTCCCAAGGAAATAAAACAAGGCTTTTTTGGAATCCTGACTGCCAGCCTCAGCTACAGAAAGTTTCCTGTGACATGCTCATTACAGATGACCCTGAAGAATCTGAGGAAGGCAGACAGGGGTGAGGAGAAGCCAAGTTGTGTTGAGACAACAGCCAAAGTCTCTGATTCCCAAAGGGTGCCCTGGAACTGAGATGCCCTTCCAAACTGTCCCAAAATGAGACAAGGGGCCTGACCCGAGCCAGGCTGTACCCCTGTGAGAGGAGTTGTTACCTCTGGAAAGAAGGGTCTGTGATTGAAATAAATTCCTGAACATGGACCCAGCTGTGACCCATTAGCAGCTGATGTTCCCAGTAGATGAAGAGCAGATGCCCTGAAGACAAGAAGGGGTGTGGCCAGTATGCTTTAGGAACCACTACAGGCTGCAAATGCACTAAAGAAGTTGAAAGAAAGTTATATTTTCTCTATCTTTCTCTCCCTCCCCCTCCCTCCCTCCCTCTTCCTCTCCCTCTCTCTGTGCCTGTGTGTGCATGTATGTGTGTGTGTGTGTGTGTGTGTGTGTGTGTGTGTGTTGCATGCATGTGTGGTACTGAGGATTGAACCAGTGCCATGTGGATGCTTGGGCTTTGGGGGTGGTAAGCCAGCACCCTACCACTGAGCTACATTGCCTATCCCTTTTTTATATTTTATATTTTGAGACATGGTCTTGCTAAGTTGCCCAGGCAGAGATAAAACTGAATTTGTAATCCTGCTTTAGCTGCCCAAGCAACTGGGATTACAGATATGTGCCACCATTTCTTGCTGGGGTTGAATGTTACACCACCTTGGGAAAATATCTCTTTTTTCCTAGCTTTTATCAGATGGTCAACATTTTCAGCTAGGGAAATTACTTTTATTAAATTACTTTTGGGAAGTGATTCGAGAACTGCACAAAATAACAACAGTATGCAAGAACTAGCGCATACCATTAAAGTATTACTAAGAGCTGGAGCCCATCAGGCAAGGAAACTGTGAAGAGTACATGCTAGATTCAGACAGTAATGCAAGTAATTAATTTTGTACTGCTTTCCTCGGAGGCACATGGAAGTGTTGAGGCTGTACTGTTATTGCAATGACTAGGAAAACTACAGGTGGAGATGGTTGTGCATGATGAAGAACTGTCCCAACCCATTTATCAATGACAACTCCACTGATAGATACTGTGACTGAATGAAGTCAAGTGCCTACTAACTACAGCTTTTTGAGATGGTAATAGTGCTATAGACCATGGGGTCCAGAGGAGAGGAATAAATGTGAAAGAGACAGGAAAAGCTAAGGAGGGCTTGCAGCTATCCACATAGATAAAGGGACAGACTGAACTCAAGAACACAGGGTGTAGTAGTCATATCTGAAGCATAGAGCTCCCTCAATTGTCTTCATGTTTAAAAGTGACTGGATGGATGGGTGTGTTGGCACACACCTAACAATCTCAGTTATTTGGGAGGTTGAGGTAGGAGGGTTGCAAGCTTGAGGCCCGACTGGGGCAACTTAGATCTTACTTCAAAATAAAAGGGGTGGACTGGCTGGGGATGTAGCTCAGTGTTCCCTGAGTGCAAATCCCAGTACACTCTCTCCCTCTAAGAAAAGAAAAATGAGAAAGGAATTGAATTCCTCTGATGGCATAGTAGTTATCTATCTGGGTGACAAATGGCTAATAACAATCATTAACATGCCAGGATGTTTCAATTTAGTCTAGATACCAATTATTCCATTCCTCAAGCAACCTCAACTCATGACATTATTTCCTTAGTGCAGTGTTGCCCAAATGTTTCACGTCATGGCCCATGGAGAAATGGTTCGTAAATTGTACAGCACCCTTACTTAACTGCAGGTCATTAAAAGTGACAGGCCTCACCTGGTCGTTGCCATGACTGTAAGATTTAAAAAAAATTTTTAACACAAAGTATATTTATTTTAAAAGAATTATCAAATATCCTCATGTCTTTCCATGAATGCAAGATTTGATAACTTTGGCAATCCTGGGACACATTAGAAGCCCCACCTTACCAAGTTAGTCTTGAAAGCTTAGCAATGGTTAGCGTGAAACCAAGACAGGATGGATAAACCTAATCCATAGTTTGATTTTATTGTATTTTATTTTTTGCAACACAGAAGACTGAACCCAGGGACTCATGCATGCCAAGCAAACTACCGAACTACTTCTCCAGTATTAATCTCTGCTTTTAATACTTTTACATTGAATTATGGGTAAATTGTATTTGCTCAAAGACTTAAAATGTTTGTGGCAATTTGGCATATTAGCAAATTTGAGATGTAAGTCTTAGATTCTAATTTAAAGTGTATCATTTTTATACCTGTGATTCAAAATGAATGATAAAATAAAACTGGACCCAGTTCACACAGTTTGTTACTGAAACATTTCAGAGAACTTGAGATTCACCATATATATAGGCTTAATTTGTTTAGATTTATATGAGGTAGATACTGTGGAGAGTTTGGTATAGAACAAACTGTTCTCCCTGTTAGACATTAGATAAGCTTGAAAATAAAGCAAATTGAATGTATAAATGTAGTTTAGAATCAGAGAATTCAGACTGCTTGATTCAGAGATGTCTACCCACTGAAAGACCTACTTTATACAAATTGATCTACATATATAAGTGGAAAAATAAGGTTTGTAAGCTGAACCAAGAGGTTTAGGAGTAATCAGGTTTTAAAATGTATATACCAAGTGGAGAAACCTGACACAGATCACCTTGAGTAAGATCAAGTTAACAGTGCTGAGAATGGAATAGACCATTGTGTGTATCTCCCAGTGTGATGTGGTGAGCACCCACCATGGCTTGTGTAGTGTTTTTGCCAAAAATGCAAACCTTGAGTCAAATCCCAAGAACACATCAGACAAATCCAGAGGCACATCCTATAAAGTGACCAGATTGCACACTTAAAAATGTCAAGGACTTTGAAGGCAGGGAAAGGCAGAGAAACTGCTCCAGATCACAGGAGATTAAAGAGACATGACAAATAAATGTCATCAAATCATGAATTAGGTCCTAGACCAGGGAAAACATGTCACAGTAAAAGATATTGGTACAACTGATGTTTGAGTATGGGCAGTAGAGAAGAGTTTTGGATGCTGTTACATTAATTTTAATTGTAATTTGGTTTTGTAAGAGAGTATAATTTAGGAAAAAGAATCCAACATCTATCCATCAAGAGGACAATAAAGGAGGCAAATGTAAATTAGCTAAGCTAGGTAAAGGTTATATTTAAATACTTAGTACTTTTCTTTTAATTTTTTCAAGTTTGAATTGTCAAAATTGTTATAGAAGAGCTCAAAACTTACCCTGCTAACATATACAATACACACATATGTCTACAATTTAAACTTCAAGCTTCTGTACAGGCTTTTCTGTACACAAACACCACTCTCAAACATTCTCAAACTTGAGACGCACTGTTTATTGGGGACATCTAACGTCTGGCATGCTGCTATTCTCATGTTGTGGAATAACCCATGAGAAGACAGCATCCTGAAGTCCAAGGAGTGACGATGTGTTTGTTTCTCACTCCAGTGTCTTTGCTACTGCAGGAAGGAATGATTCATATCCTTCCTCCACTTACCACAAAGGTCAAGTTCACACATATGTGCCAGTGCTGGCCTTTGTATTCACTCCACACTTGAGAATCCAAATTCAGGGAAATCCCACTGAGGTTCCATGGAACACAGCCATTAGTCCTAGTGCTTTCCCCCAAACATGCATTTTGCTTGCTGGTGCACAACCTGCGCCAACTTGCTGCATTTTAATTTTTAACTTTCTTAATTTTGTCCCCTCCAGCATGTGCCAAGCATGGAATGAAAAGCCAAATATCTTACTCGTGTCATCCAAACATTGTTGTCTCCAGGCATGGTGAAATGCTTAAGATCCCTCCCTTAGCTAGCTAAGGGCCATCAGAGGAGCCAGACAGGATATTTCCACAAAGACAGGTTCGGATCATGGTAAAAAGGATACAGTATTTGTTTAAATAGGCTGAAAATTGCTTTTGTTGTCTGTGGACTTCAGGGCACTTCCCAGTCTCAAAAATGTAGCAAGCCATCCCTGAGGGCTGGGGATTTAGCTCAGCGGCATAAGCGCTTGTCTTGCAAGCAAGCCATTCCTATCAGGGATGCCACACCTAACACTATTCTTGAGCTTGACCCTCTCCTGATATTTCTAAAGTCACCAGCAAAGGCTGGACCTACTGGACTGCTCCTCCTTTGGCTCACAAACATCTGACCCCTAATGGGGACTCCTGTGACTGCTGAGAGGCAACAGTCACACCTCCCTGGTGGAGCTCGAATTGCCTCTCATCTTCCCTGCCCCCTTCACAGCTAAGACAAGCAGCAGAGCAGGGCAGGGGCAAAGAAGGGGGTCTCCTGGGGGTCGTCATGACTACCAGTGGAGAATCTTCCTGCAGCCGTTTCTCAGGAATTGCTGTAGGTACCTCTCCTACCATTCATACATCCTGAGGTCCGGTGCCATTAACAATGACAGTACTGACATGAGATTCTCTGAAGAAGCACAGTGTAAACTGCAACTGGTTTAATATATATACGCATGATTACTAAAACAAGTAGAAATGAAACACTCATAATGACTGCTGCCATAGAAAATGTCTCTCTTGAGCTATACATGCTCACTCTTTGATTCAACAACCTCAAGGAACATGTCCTACAGATTCCTTTATGTACAAGTAAAATGATAAGCTGTGCAGTCTGCTCATAGTGAAACACTGACAATTTGCATATCCTACCAAAAGCAACTGCTTCTAGTATCATATCCAACGGGATCCTGGAATATTATATCACCATGAAAAAGAAATGGGAAATCATTTTATATACTGAATTGGAAAGGTCTCCTGGGTCCCTTGAGTTTAAAGAAAGTATATAACTTGGGTAATGCAGTGGTATAGTCTGACATAAAAGAACATATTTGTAATTGTTTATACACTAATAAAGACACTTCACATTAGTAACAGTGTTTGCCCTGAAGGCGGTGAGGATGTGTAACGACCCTGTTAGCTGGGAGTCTTTCCACTGTATGCCCCTCTAGATTTTCATTTTTCCAATCTTATGAATGCATTATACATTTAGAAATTAAACCAGGTGTGTTGGTGTGCATTTACAGTCCCCATGGCTGAGAAAGGAAGATTGCTTGAGTGCAGATTGCTTGAGCGCAGAATTCAGGGATAGCCTTAGCAGCACAATGGGACTTCCACTCCAAATAAGGATTACTACGAAATGAAGTACCTTAAAACAAACATTACAGTCCAATTGACACTCTTTGTAACATAACTGCGTGCTTTATTGAGATACACAGTAAAGCAGTAATATAATACAATAGTAAGGCATATATTTGGTGAAGTCTGATATGTTGTGAAAATGCAGTAAAACTGAAGTTTAAAAAAATAATTAGTAAATGTTACAGTGTTGGTGTTAAAACACAATATATTATGATACTCAAGTAAGAACCCAGTACCTGAAAACAATGACATAACATGCCATGTGATGTTTATGCTTCAGTTACATTGACTATGATTTACAGTTTAATACTTGGTGGTTATAAAGAACACAAAATAATATCCAAATTAAGCTTTAAACTCAGCAATAAAGCTCTCAGTTTTTATTCAAATATTTTGACAGACTCACTCGAGAACTAATATCTAAAAGATAAAAGAAAACAAGATTAAAACAAATTATGCATACTACCTCTGATTTTAGAGTGAAACTTAAAACTTATTAGGATGTAAAGTAACCCCTTTTGTTTTAATTCTTAGTTAAAACAAATCTGTGAGTATAGGAAAAGTCCAGTGTCACATAAGGGAACAAATCCAAGACTAAAACCAAATCTCCTTGTAATTTGTTACCTTAGAGCTTTGGATTTTCTTTTGAAAATTATAGAGGAAAAGGAAAATGAAAAATGTCCACACAATAGACAAGTGAAGCTGTGAAATCAGATGTGCACAATTACCAGGAACACCCCAAAACCAAAGTGAGGTAGAAATAGCATGAGAAGCTGTGTTTGATGTTAATTATCATTAATAAAATAATGGACAAAACCCACTCTCCAAAAGTTAATTACACTTGATGGCAGAGTAATAGATTTGCAAAATAACAGGACACACGGTGATTTCTACTGAATTAATGATTTTTATAAAATGAAAGAGTAATAAAATGACATGAAAGAGTAAAGCTTTTCCTGCCAGTCCTTAGCTTTCCTTTTTTCTTTTTTTCCTCCTCTTGAACAATTTTTTTTTAAATATATTTAACACTTGCCTAATTCCCCAGAAAAGCTTTGGAGAAACTTTTGCTTTTTGGATCATTCAAATTGATTTCTCTTCCCACTTACAAACCTATGTGGAATTAGTGGCAGACAACTGCCAAGGGAGAAACACAGTTCATAGGCTTCTGGTTTGGTATTTATCAGTGTCACACAATGTGACGCGGCTACAGTCTTATACCATTTTCCAAGAGTTATTTTAAACTAAGTCTGCAGCATTGAAACATTCATTGTGATGAGGAAAAATATCTAAACAACAATAGCGTCAAAACCACCCACTTCTGTTTTACTGTGAGCAGGCAGAATAATTGAGCTGTAGTTAGAAAGCATAAATATGGATGGTTATGAATATTCACCCAGACCTTTACTTCAAGAGTGGCCGCTGCCTTGCAGGTATTGGCTGGGCCTCCATAGCCCCCAGCCCCACCATAATCTTCCTAGTGCCTGCGAGTTAAAAATGCCTTGTGGTGCTCTGACTTCCACGAAAGAAGCATCATTAAATCGAAATTGTGGCACAGGCAGCAGCAAGAAGCTGAATACATCATCCAACAGATTATAGTGACATAATAAGTCTTGTGTATTCATTCACATGTTCCTTTTTAAAAAATTCAATGCTCTAGTTGTCAGTGAAAAGTTTAAAATGAGAAACATCTGGAGCCCCACATATAATGTTTTAGCATGGTAGCTCCCTCCTGGCTTCAGGCTCCAGGAAAAACTCATCCTAGGCCAAGCAGGTCAGCCAGGATGACTGAGGCATCTTTTTTCCATCAGGAAGTGGTAGGAACATCTGAAGTAATGTAAAAAGGTCTACAGAAATTCACGCCTATGTATCTATACACCTATAGTATTTACATACTTATAGACATATAGATGGGTAACATGAGAGTGCACAGTCAGACCCACTCAGTCAATAATTCTCAAAAAAGCAACACGAAGTAGTCATTTGGTGGTGTTAGCGTTAAGTCCTACCTTTAATATGTAAGAAAAGAAAAATGCCATGAATTCCATATGAATATCACACTAAAAAATGCAAAACAATGTGCTGCCTCAGTTTGTGTGTGTGTGTGTGTGTGTGTGTGTGTGTGTGTGTGTGTGTCTGTGTGTGTGTGTCTGTGTGTGCGCATGTGTATGGTGTTTGTTTTTAGGGGTTTTTATAAACAACTTTTTTTTTTATAAAGCACACTTTAGTTTACAATCTTTCTTTATAACTGTTATAAATTTTTAAACAACCCAAAATGCGTTCCATATAAAGAAATGGCAAGTTATTTAGCTATCAAGATTTTACATGTAGTTTTCTTATAACTTTTTTGTACAATTGCATAGACGTGTAAAACCTGCCATTGTTAACAAAACAATAACAGACTTAGAAACTACTGAAATCTACAGTATAGTACCACTACCCTTCACAAAAATATAGATTTTATTTCTTGTAAACTCTTACTGTCTAATCCTCTTTGTTGTATGAATATTATAAAAACCATGCGGGAATCAGGAGTTGAAAAACATTTATTCTGCTCCTTCTTCATCTGTCATGACTGAAACTAAGGACTCCATTGCTCTGCTCAAATCATCTGCCATGTGGAAAAGGCTTCCTACATTGTGTCCTGAAAAACAAAGGAGAAAAAAAGACTGAAAAAGGTGAAGGGACCATTGTTCTGATTCTTTACCATTCAGAAAGGCATTACCCAATTCTGGGTGAAGACAACACAAAAGATGCATTTGAACACAAAAGGGTTTGAATTTCACCAGTTTCCAGGAAGAAGCAAAGCCTTGTTAATGAAGCACTGCACATTGTTAGTATCAGCTAAGTACTGAATCGGCTACTGGTGTCATTTAATGGAAAAAGATCAAAGAGTGCACACATGTTCCCAATGTAAATATGCTATCAAAAGGATTCTATGGATAATCACATGACTTTTGTCACAGCAGGACTATTTCATGGTGGGAGAGGCCTTTTCTATTTGGTGTATTCAGGACTTGCTTCTACTCATGATTTTTTTAACCATTATGACCACCATCACGATTTACCACGATTTACCAACACTACCCCCTCTACCGTCACCTTTATTGTCACCATGGCTACCATCACACAACCACACAGGGATATTCATTTTTAAGGCTGTTTCAAGCTGTGAAGGGTAGTGGTATTATGACGGAGGTGACCATTTTTTCTTTTATTGGTTTGAAAAGTAAACATTCTGAGTTCACCTTTTCATATACTAATAACATTTGAATTAGAAAGCTTTAGAAAAATCATCTTTTATTCCAAATTAATCTAGTGCCTAATTATAATACGACACACATGGATTGCACAGATTTGAGTATCCTGTGCACCTGTCATCTATCTCTTTCTGTACCAGGGTTAACTATCAGAATAGTCTTTTAATAATAATGTGGCATGACGCAGCATTCATCCTCCAGCATGGAACCCAAGAGCAGCACGATGTCCCTGAGTGCTCTGTAGCAAAGTTCAGATGTAGAGTAAGGTAATCTGAGGCATTGTAAGTTTCCTTTTCTTGTATATCTCGTATTTTTATAGGGCTAATTTTAATTCTTGCACACTGGTGAATCATTCTGCTTTTCAAATCCTGCTTTTGGAACTGAAATGCTTTACTAGGCTATTACTAGTTTGCCATGTATCAAGTTTACAGATTCTCATAATAATTGCTAAAAATCCCAATAAAATTATAGATAGACTAGAGCAGGTTCTCTGTTCTAATATTTCAAGTCCTTTTTTTTTTAAAAAAATGAAACTTGGAAGAGGGTTCAAGGGAAGGCCTTTAAACAGTAATGGCACCAGATCAAACTAAAGACTTATTAAAAGTTTAATGCCACTCAGGCACTCATATTATGATGACCAAGTTTGTAAATCTCTGAGTTTTATGAGTGCAAAGAGTTTCAGTAAGAGCTAATTACCTTTTAAAAAAAATCATTTTGGATTGTGGTTGAGAATGCAAATATAAAGTCTTTAAACAAAACATATTTAGTCTTCATAAAATGCACCAGTAGTTTGGCAGCCTTCAGTAAAGAACTGAACTCATCTTTGGGTTTTCTATGCCATTAAAACCACAGCAGTACACAGTGTGTGCAATGCTGCTTCTTAGAGTTCATAATACAAATATATATCTGAAGCCACCAGGTCAGAGGGCTTCTCTTGTATCTTATTTCTGATTGTACTTCAATTCTAGGAAATCTACACAATTATTCATGCATAATTGAAAGTGGATACACTAACCGCAAATCTGGAATCACTAACAATCTTAAAAGCCATTAACAAAGCCAGTAAAAAATTAAACTCAAGGTAGTCCATTTGGCAAGAAAATGCAATATAAGACTTAAAAGAAGGAAGAATTCAGTTTTCCTGTCAGCTTATTGTTAATAAAGTGCCTTTTTTGGAGACGGTCTTAATGCATACATAGTCCAGGCTGGTCTTGAGTTCACTATGTAGCCCAGACTAGCCTCAAACTCTTTGTGATCCTTCTGCCTCAGCCTCCTGAGTGATAGTATGACAGGTATGTACCACTACATCTAGAAAAAAGTATCTTTTTAGATGTATACTAGTGGATGTGAACTGCAGTTTCAAAGATAGTATAACACAAGTAAATGCATTTACAGACTACATAGCCAGGTGGTACTTCTATTCTTTGACATCATGTTCAGTTACTATCTGGAAGAAAAATTCTTATGCCTCTGAAGAGGTCTAAGTTCTAGGGCTACCATCTATTTAAGAAATTTCCCAGGCTAAACAGAGGTTTATTATTTTTAATATACCACACAAATTCTCACAAGATGTTGGGCGGCCTTTAACCTGTTTTAGACTGTTCAAAGTTCACAACTGGCCTTGTGACCATCCTTAGGCAAGAAAGCAAAAAACTGAGTCAATTAACATATCTAGATTATGCTTCTGGTGACCTCATTTATAAATACCTGTTTCACTAGAATATTGACTCCAATATTTTTCCCCCCGTGGAGGTTTTCGTTAGATCCAAAAAACAAAACAAAACAAAAAAACCCCAAAACCAATTCTTAAGCAAATATTACTCCAAAGAATCATACCTGAATCCAGTAGAAAATAAAAGTGCACTGTGACATGGGCACAGAAAAACAGACCTGTATCTTGGGTCTATTTTCCATGCATGGAAGGCAGAGCATCAGTGTGGTCATTAACTGTACCTGACAGATTGTCCTAAAGTCAAAATTAAAATCTCATACTATAGATGTAAGAGGCACTAAAGAGCAGCCAGGATTCAGGGGTTTGCAATCAGCTTGAGGCACAAATTAACATAAAAATATGCCTTTAGACAGTATTAATTTAATCCATTCTTAAGCAAGGATTATTGAACACAAAGGCAGCATGCGTTGAACATTAGGGCAGTTTTATGTGTTTCCAAGTTGGCACGAACTGCAACACATTTAGTCTTACAAGCCACCACTGCCTAAGGGAGTTGTTTTCCACAGTGACTGGTATTGAGACGTTCTGGCAAAGACCCAGGACCTCAATAACAATCTAGCACTCTATTTTTTTTCAACGCAATTCCTAAATAAATGCTTAGCATTCAATTGGCCAAAGCCAAGTCAGAATATCACAGTGAAATTTGCTTATCTTTTCTTCTCTATAATTTCATGTCAGAAAAAAAATCTGGTCTACTGTGAATTTTGGATGTTTTCATGGCATTAAAAAGAACTGTCATTACTATTTTGTTTCTCTGGCTTCTGGAAACTTACCTATTATCTCTCATACTCCTAAGACAGTAGTCTCCAAATGCTTTTGTGATTTCAATTATACGTGTTGGTCTTTAAAAAATATGTTCATGAACAAAACATGTTTGGGGAGGAAGATACGTGTGTGACAAACTTATGTTGTGCTTTTTCACAGAAACTTAAAGTCAATTTTAAGAGGCACTTACCATAAGAATGGACCCAGGAAGTCACACATGTGAAGTATGGGAGCTAGGCACATTCAATGCTTCCCTTATTCAGGTTTTCTTAATTTCTCTTCCCAGTTTACCACTCCTTCCCTGGTACCCATTTCCTAAAACCTCGGCCTAAAGGGAGAACTGGGATTTTGAAATAGACACACTGAGGATCCTTAAATTCATTAGACTTACATGGCATGGGGTTGGTAGAATTTTTGGTATAACTTCTTATGTTTAAAAGAATCAGTGGCCACACTAGTCCATGCCATGCTACGGATCCAAAATCTTCTCATATAAAACCTTTCCACCCATCCAGCTTTTATCTTCCAAAATGGTACAATGCTATGAGCATCCCACAGGAGAGTGTTACTTCTCCCTCCGTCACATTAAACTCTTGGCAAGGATAATTTTCTTTCACATGGGCTGTGTCGCTCAACACTTTGCCATCCAACAGACCCTTGATTAGGTAACTCAGTGTTCACAAAATATTCCTGGTAGAAGGGGAGTAAGGAGCACCTCTCACTGTGAAAGTCCAAACTACATTTGGTGATAATGCTGTACCATGCCCCTTTCAACCCCGAAGAGGCGTAACTAAAACCCTCAGTTCCAACATTGGTATTTTTAAATACTAAATCAGTTATCTTTCTGTCTGGCTCCAAATGCCAGTGAAAAAGAGGCAGCTTCTCAGAGGCAAGTTGAGATGTTGTGAGCCTTTCAACATCACTTTGTGAAGGGCCAGTATTGTGTCAGAGTTCACAGTGTGGCCCTGCAAGCAGGCTGCCTGAATGCCAATCCTGGTTTGGTTGCCTTGGACACGTGGTGCACCCTTTTATTCACTCAGTTTTCTTATCTGTAAAATGGGGTTAGAAACAATACCTACCTCATAGATTTGCCATGAAGATTACAGGATGGAAAAAATAGCAAGAGCTCAAAACAGTGCTTGGCACTGTATGTGCTAAAAAAAAAAGTTAGCCTAAACAGGAATGAAAGAGTGTAGGAAGGAGATAGGGGAAGAAAAACAAAAACAAATTGAAGTCATTCCAGAAGAATATAACCCAAGGGCACTGGCCAAAAATTCTAAAGTCCTGGAACTGGAAGGAAGCTGTATTACTCATCAATTACGTTCAAGGCTGAATTTATTTGGAAGGCTTTGTTTGTGTTGCAAATGGCAACAGATGATGAAGGCAGGATTCCGGACCAAGGGACTACAAAGGATTGCCATTTTAAAGAGATTCCTGCCCCTCCCCCGTCTTGTTGTCATGATGATGACAAGGGCAATGAACATTTGAGGAATGCCCCTCATGAGCTGCAAGTGGAGAGGTGACTACCATCCTTATGTGATGACACAATGTGTAATACACACATGCGCGTGCACACACACAAGTCTTACACAAAGGCCAAACATAGAAAGCAGGATGAGACAGACAGAAGCCATGGCTGTGGGCCTGAGTCTCACTAACCTCTCTCATTGGCTTTCCAGGGGCATTTCTTCCTTTAATAATAGAGAGAGGAAGAGGCAGAGATATCAGAAAGGGGAAAAACATGCATAAATATACAGTTTCATACCAATTTGCTTCTTTTACCAAACAAATGTTGAGATGACAATTCATTTATATTCCCTTCTGGAAAAAAAATAAACAGAAACAAAACAAAACAAAAACCCAAAAGACACAGCTAGTCAAATAATC